TGCTGGGGGCGGGGGGTGTACGCGTGTGTCTGCTTCTGTTTAAAGGCAGAGAGTGGAATGTGTTACCCACGTTCCCCAACAGAGGGTCTTGGCAGGCCAGCAGTCTTTCTGAAGATGTGGGCACTGCTGATGGCAACAAGAAGAAGCAGCCCAGAGCTCCCTCTCAGCCAGGCTCGACACGGTGCTGCTCGCTGGGGGAGGAAATTGATTTTCTTTCTCCGGATAAACTTTGCACATCATCCAGAGGCTCTGTTCATCTTATTAAGAGAAAACAAACTTATTATCGAACGTGTTAACAGACTGATTTAGTTTCTTAGATTTGATTTGTTAAACTAGATGTCACCCAATTTTAAAGCTGGTGTTGTTAAATTAATAAACCATGTAGGAATTACACAATCTAGCAGCTGGCATCGCGGGAGTTGCTGAGTTTCCACCATATCAAGCACGTCTTAAGGGGGAGCCGCAAGGCTGGGACCAGATGTGGAGTCGAGGGAGGCCATTCATGTTGTACAAGCTTCACTCACATACTAGGAGGCAGCGTCTTGCTTAAGCTTTCTTGGCAGGATTTAACATAAAGAACCATAACGCTTTAATATTAACATTAATAATGAAACTTTGGGATGGGACAATAAGCCATAAAACTAACAACTGTTCTTCCAAGGGGATCTGCATTGTACACTGTAAGGCACTGCCCCTGCCTGTGCTCGGTCTCCGAACTGGGAGTCAGACCTGATTGCTGTAGTTGATCAGAGCTGGGGTTGTGAGGTCCGTGGAGTCCTGCAAGTTGTTTGTAAGTAACAGCTTGTCCATCTTGGTAACTGTGAGAAACATTTACACAAGCGTTTAGCTATAGGATGGTCCATAAAACCATTGACAACATTCCTGATGTTGTCAGGAGACAGAGGCCAAGTCTCATTGCTCACCGAGTTATCCAGGCTGGACTATGCTGTGACTGGGCAAACAGGGCTGTGGAACCACTTGCAGCTGTTTTCATGCTAACACAGAACCCCTCAGATGATATTTAGTGTTCACTAATTAGCTTCTGATCCTGTAAGCCTGTATCCACTCACTTTCCTGGCGTGAATTTTCATATTTTGCTGATTTAATGCATTCATTTCTGTGTTTGCTGTTAGGATTCGCCCTTGAGTTACAGGGGAGGGAATAGAAAGAGGGTAACTTCCAGGAGGACCACAGACAGTTCCAGAAGGTTATGGCTACTGCCCTTCGGGGAGCTTTGCTTTTCATGGATTTGGCCTGGTGAGAGGGTTAGACCTCTCCAGGCTGGAGTAAGGCAAGCAATTGGGATGCGACATGACTCAGTGAGAACCAAAGAAACATATGGCCACCCATATGGGATCCCAGCGAAGGTAAAGTGAGGACTTGAGCCACTAGGCTGCCATGCCAGGCACTGTCATTAGGTGCATAAGAGAGGAACAGAGCAGCCCCTAAGGAAGGCATTCTCACTACTCAGCACGCCTCTCTCTATGGTCGGCCGTGCCGTGCACTTCCCCAGGAACGAGGGAAGCAGAAGCAACCCTTTTGCTCTGAGTCGTCTTTTCAAGGAAGTTATCTGCCAGTGACCTTGCACGAGAGAGTAGGTCTCTCCTGAGCCAAACACAGGCGGGCTTACAGCTCCTAATAAACGATATAGCTTCTCTGAGTTCAGGATCTGCTACTTAAGCTACTGGGACTTGGGGAGCAGAGAAACAGACTTGCATCCTGTAGTTCTTAATCCCCTGTGTCACCAGCAGCCACGGGACTGTGCAGGACAAGCAGTTCACTGGCAGGCCAAGCCAGACCCCAGAACCTTCAGATTTCTCCCCAATTCTTCCCTCTCCGTAAAGACCCCTGTTGGTGGGGGAGCTCGGTGATGCAACAGGTGTATTTATTATTCAGCACTGATAAACTCTATTTTAGCTTCATCCCACTGTGTGAGAAGCTGGAATTTTCCAAATGTCTATAACTTATCCTCATGCCATTATGTATAACACTCACACCCAACAGAAAGAATTTCAGCCTTTTTGGCTTGTAACTGGATGAGTTTTATCTCCAGTTGAAACATTTGTGATTTGTTCACTGAATATCTATATCAATAGCTTTCTGCAAGCTAAGAAAAAAATATAAATATTTCCTATCTGTATGTGAAATACCTTCTCAAGACTCTAGCTAGCTCAGCTGTTTTGAATGAATTATTTTGGCTTGTGAATGAGATTTTTATTTCCCCCCATGTCTGTAAGAAAGAAATTGTGGCTGATTCAGTGCATTTGAAAGGCCAGTCATGTCCTTCCACCTTTTTGCTTATTTTGCCAAGAGTTGTTTTAGTTCTTTTTCTCAATACCCTTGCACTAGCTTTGGAAGGATTGGTAGTAATTCCAAAGAGGGCTTCTATGTTCAGAGAAAACAGCCAGCTCCCTTGGTTATTGCTGCTCAGGGTGGTGGGCACAAAGGCCCAGTGCCACCTGCACCTGGCTCTAGCCCACACTGCCCACCCCACCTGTTCTAAATATGCCATTATCCGATGAGAAGTCAGTTCCCCTCTACTAACGGTGGCTGATAAGATACAGGCAGTAAGAATAGTCTTGCTTCCCAATAGACTGCAAGACACGTGTTTGTGACACACTGCAGGTTTTGTTTGACGTGTTTTGTTTTAAGATTTATTTATTAGTTTGAAAAAGAGAGTTACAGAGACAAGGAGGGAGGGAGATAATCAGAGATTTTTAGTCAGATGATTCACTTCCCAAATGACTGCAGCAGCTAGGGCTGGACCAAGCCAAAGCCCATCTGAGTCCCCAGGCTGCAGGGGCCTGAACACGTGGGCCGTTTCCCTGCTTTCACACGAGAGCCGCAGCAGGAGTGGGACAGTTTGGACCTGATCCCAGATGCACGCAGCAGCAGTGGCAGGCCCACACTCCAGCTGTTTGCACAGTAACGTACCTGCCCTGAGACGCAGGGTCATTCCAGGTGCAATCAGCAAGGTTCCCTACGGCTGCCACCTCTTGTGGGGACAGACAGAATGTGCTCACTCTGCAGACTTGTGCTCATGTCTGCTTCTCATTAGCCTCCCAGAGCAAGTCTCAGCATCACCCAGCAACTTCGTTAGCAGCTCAACTCGTTGACCTTAGAAAACCAATGCACGGGGCCCAGATGCAACAGGCCATCCACCCGCTCCCCAAGTGGTGCTGAAGCCCAGCAGAGCTGGAGAGGCAGGGCTGCTGGTGTCAGTGCTGCTCTTCAGAGAAGAACGAGGCTCATTAACTCACAAGGTCAGGACAGCATAAGTGACAAGGTGCTGCGTCATGCATAAAGGGACGTATTAGCATTTACTAAATCAATCTTGTAGCTTTCCTTTAAGAAAATACATCTCATACCTAATCCCGTGCTGCACACTGTTCAGATGCCAATGAATGTCGATGCAGCAGCCCCCGCCCCAGGTGTCTCATGGTGTGCCAACTGGGGCTTGCAGAGCGCAATCTGATTCACACACAGTTTTGTAAATTAAATTTCCTTAGGACACAGCCACACGTGTTTGTTTGCAAGCTGCCTATGATCATATTTAGGCAAGTTTAGAAGGACAACAAAGAAAAATAAGCTGATAAAGCTTAGAACACTTAATATTGAATATCTGTGTTTGGCATAACCTTGCTGACCAGGTCTGTTGTTGAAAGAGGAAGCCCTAGGAAGCGGCAGCTGGTCATGCAGGTAAACCACAAACTGAGGCACTCACCTCCCATGTCAGAGGCCCTGGTTTCAAGTCCTGGCTCTGCTTGTAAAGCCAGCTCCCTGCCATTGCACGCTCTGGGAGGTGGCCATGATGGCTGCAGTGGGCAGGTCCTGGTCACCCACACGGGAGACGTGGATTCAGTGTGTGGCCTCTGCTTTTCCTGATCCAGCCCTGATCATTGTGGGAATGTGGCCCATGAACCAGGGAATAGGAACTCCCAGCCCATCTCTACGCCTCTCCAATACGACAAAACAATATTTGTGAAAGAAAAATGAAGGGAGAAAACTCTGCACATTCCAGATGGTTGCTGCTCGTAGAGCTGGGGGTTAGCATGGTGTGCAGGATTCTTTTCTTGTCCCGCGACATGTATGCATAGAAGTTTCCCCAATGATGGAACATTCAGCTTCCCAGACACGATGTTTCACACAGAGCACAAAGATGGCTTGGCAAGTGTCAAACACCTGCTGGGCGTATGGCCAAAAGGCAGGGGCTTGAGAACAAACGGAGAAAGTAGAAACAGAAGAGGGGAAGAGATGCTAAAGGAGAAATTTGGATAAAAATTGGTAACATTAGTCACAAGAACAAGGACAGCAGGAAAAGCTAAAATGCAGGTGTGCAGCTAAGGAAAGGAGGGAGGGAGAAAGGGACCAAGTCTGGCCGTCCCCAGCCAGCCGCTTAGCCTGGCATAGAAGCCCTCTGGTTAGGGTTAGGGTTAGGGAAGCTGAGTCTCTGCTCCACGCACCCTGAGGATGTGGAGGGAGACATACAGGGCATGCTCAGCCTCGGCTAGGAGGGCCACCTCACCCTGCTGCTCTGTCCCTCTGGACCACACTGACTGCTGGGTGGCCAGCGCTTAGTGTTCCTGGAGTACTGGAATCCCCTGAGGATACCCAGATGTCCCCTCTTACTTCCTGGCTCGGGTCTCCCTTTGCTCCGGTATGAGAGGCTGTTTATGCATCTGTCCTCCTGTGTGCTCAGTCTGTCTTCTGTCACTCCCATTGTAGACACAGCGTTTGTGTGAATGTTCATCCGACTCTGCCCAGAAGGGCTGCAGGAGGAGTGACGCACACAGAGTTGGGGCTCTCAGGAGCGGGAACTGCGGCAGAGTCTGTCCCATAGCGAGGACATTTCTTCCTTCAACAGACTTAGTGTTGCTTTATTTCTAACCCACAGATAAATCCAGGTTTCTTCGCTGTCCTGAAAGTTAATTTCCTGTGGACACGCTTAGAAGAGGGGACTGTGGACAGCTGGGATCCATTTGTGTTTCTTGTTCTTTTAGGAATTTTTCTTTAAATGTGGAGCGCACGCAACATCCGACAAGGAAACGTCAGTGGCTTTGAACCTGATCACAGCCAACAGTCGCAGCATCCCTTGCATAACCTGCACGGACGTCAGGTAAGGCCCTGGAACTGACCTTGTGCCGTCCTCCCCCGTCACCTTGTGACCTCGCCTTCCTGGACAAGTGCTGTTCTGTTTGGATGCTGTCCATGCACTACTCAAATGTGATGGCTTGGGTTCCTCAGTAGGGTCCTCAGATGTGTGGATGACATGGCTAGGACAGTGTCTGCTTAGCCTGCGTTAGAACGGACTCGTCTATCTGAGTGTAAATGCATCTGTGTCGATGAGTTCTAAGATTTTAACACTGGAATGCAGACATGATTTGGAAACACCCTTTATGCTGGGGCTGTGTAGCCCTCACTTTTCATGTTAGTGCTTTGTTTGTGTTTATATCAGACTTCACATCCATGAAAGAAAGCAAAGAGTCGGTTTGGGACCTGCTTGTTTTTAGTCTCAGTAAATAGCAAGGTAGGACAACGTGGAGATAGTGTGTTAGAACAGAACTAAAAGAGAAAAAATGGACAGATTTAAATTATGGTTTAGTAGCAGAGGCGGTGAGTCGGATGCTCCACTGAAGGTGGAGGGAAGTTTGCCCTGTGCACCTTCATGCTGTAGCAGTGGGCAGATTAACTTCATCACATGCTCTGAAACGGGCTAGCAGGTGCATGTGACAGTAGAGGGAACATGGCCTGTCTCTGAGCAGACGTCTTCAGGGCAAAGACAAACTGGTTAACAAATAAAGTTAAAAGAAACTTCTGTTTTCATAGTTTGAAGCAGAAACCGCTCTGAGTATAGCCTCGTCTAGCCTGGTCATTGCATGTGTGTCTGACTTTGACCTTCAGCTCGGGTGTAGCCTCGTCTAGCCTGGTTGTTGCATGTGGGTCTGACTTTGGCCTTCAGCTCAGGTGTAGCTTCATCTAGACTGGTCATTGCACGAGCTGTCTGACTGTGGCCTTCAGCTCGGGTGTAGCCTCGTCTAGCCTGGTCATTGCATATACAGCCTGTCTTTGAACTTCAGCTCTGTGTCAGATGGCCCTGTGAAGGAGCTAGGTAACATGCACTGTGGTCGTTGATACTTGTAATGGGACATTGCCTTTCTTTGATCAACTTTGATGGATATGTTGACTAATAGAAACCTAAAAACTTCCACAACATCTGTTGAACAAACTGTTCCAAGAAGCAATAAAAATTAAGGCCTTTTTTTTCTTTTCTGGTCCACTTTTGCTCAACCCTTGTGGCAAGAAGTGCTGCAACATTGCCTAAAACATGTGTCATTTTAACTGTGCCAACCTTGCCAAGGTGAATATACACGCTCTCAACATGCAAAGGGAACAGGTGCAAGCGAGCTTGTCGATTTTTAGGAAAGGAGTGGGAAAGCACTAGAAATGAACATGCAATTATTTCTAGCAATAAGTAATTAAGTCATTTTTCAGTTATTCAGAGGAAACATTTGAGAATTTTCCTGAGCATTGGAATGCAGTGCACCAGCCAGTTTTTAAAACCTTCCGTTAAAGCTGATAAAGATGCTATTAAACCATGTGGTGATGTTCATATGCTCCTACTGTGAGCCCTGCCCTCGTGTTTCCTGCTGCTAAACCATCCCTTTTATATTAATAGCTGGCAATGTCTTTCAAAGGGAATGAACCGCTTCACAGATATGCAGGGAGAAAATGGCTGGAAGAATTATGTTGTCATTATAAAACGATTCATATTATTGCATCTGCGGGCTATAAATAGATGCTACTGGAGTCAGTGAAATTCAGGTGTGTGGGGGTATAATGAGCCTGGCTGAACAAGGCACTTCTCCCCTTCTCCTGTAAGCAAGCAGAGGGTTGCCTCACCTGCGGGAAAGACGAATCGACTGTGGCTTCTGACTTAGAGGAATCCATCTGGAGGGCCAACATCTAAAGGCTGAACCACTGACTGCAGGGAGCTCAGTAGAAGGCTGGTACCTGGTAGTTAGATCATCATTAGGGCATTTTTGCCGCCCTGGTAATGCTTTATCTTAAAGATTAGAAGTAATTCACTCCCAATAAATACAAAAAAAAGTTAGAAATTGTTTTTATCCTCATGGATAGTAAGCTTTTGGATTTTTCCTGTTCTCTCGATCATGAATGGGTGTGTGTGCGGCAAGAACTAAGACCCTGGTGGGTGTGTAGTTTGTATTTGGCTTTTTCCACATCACACACCGCACTGCCTTTCCCAGCCGTTAGGGACTTCGTGAGAGTGGCTTTCCTTTTCCTTTTTGTTAAGCAGGTTATGCTGATGTCCTTATGCTAATGCTTATTTTTTTTTATTGTGAAATAGCAGTTGAAAATGTTTTCAACACAAAAGTTTTTGGGGAAAACTTACAAAACATAGCTGGTTTGTTCATCAACTTCATAATGCCACTGTGTCCTTCATTAACCACAGATCTACTGGTTTTCAAATTCATTCAGTTATTATTTATTTAAAAATATTTATTTCTGGAGGTAAGTCGAGTCATAAGCAATTGCAGAGTTGAAAAAAACTAAATATCTGCTTCTGCTTTGTGATTGGTTTATATTCATGTTTATTAATCAGATACCATTAGACAAGCTAAACATAATTATGTAACAGATTAAATCTAAGGATAGTGTTTATAAATATCTCTTTGTATCACCCTCACACTAATGTGGAGTAAGGATTCTCTTGATTGCTTTGCTTGGTAACCATGTTTTAACATGAAATCTAACCCCTTTCACTGTAACCATGCCATTCACCTACCTTTCTTGCCTTGATTGACACAGTATCGTGAGAACTTTGGCTTTCAGTTTCTGTGCAAACCCATACATTTATGTAGGCTCTCAGCAAGGTTTTGACTAGTTCTGAGGACTGAAAAATGGTAAGTTACAACTCATTCTCAGCCTACAAATCAATCATAGACAATTTCAAAAACACACATGAGCTCTGCTGTCTTCTGACAGATGTGGAAATCTAAGATGAGGTTTTTGAGGACAGTACCCACCGGATCACACACGTGTGTGCTAACAGTATGCAGAGCCATATATTAAATAAGTGTGCTTTTTCTGCCAACTTCGAACTTAAAAATTAATTCAAGTACATGATTTGTGTTATTTCAGTTTACATTGGAGATCAAGTATTTTTTTTTTCTCTCTCTCTGTTAAGGGAAAATAGCGAACACTTTGAGAACCAGAACAGCCTTGGGTTTAATGTGAACCCCCAGGCTCCCTTCTGGCACCAAGCCTTCTAGTCTGTGCTGCTTATCTGCACTGCCGAGCCGATCTTCATCCATTCAGAGCCAGCAACTGGGAGTCCAAGGCTTATGAATAAAAAACAAAGGGATAAATTGAACCAAAAGCAGAAACTAGAGCCAAGCTCAGAAAGGATAGCACTTGAAGGCAGAGCAGCTGTATTATTTAGTAATCTCCAACATACATCTCATCAAAAGGCCCTCGGTGTCCCTGGCTGCCCTGGTTGGACCCAAGAGTAACAGTGTGACTGCATTTGCAGCAGCAACAGGCCAATCTGAGGGACCCACCTGTGCTTCCTGTCTGACTAGTGCATGCACTGTTGCATCTCCTCTGCAAAGGAAGTGCTTCTGCCCCTTGAATCTCAGTTTACTATCATTCTTTTAAAAATCTTTTTTTTAAGTAGAAAGTCTAAAAGCATATGAAATAGGAAAAACATTACCATGCTGTTCCCAGGCTGGAGAAGAACGTGCACCCCCCATGCCCGGGCTCTGCCCCTCTGCGCTGCCAGTGCACCCCTGTCCCTCTCCTCCTTGGTCTCTCCTTCCCCCAGTGACAAAGCTGAAGCCAAACCTGAGAACTAGTTACATCTGCAAACTTTCACCTTCCAGAAACACGTCGGAAAGCCCTCTCCCCAGCAGAGCGCTAAATCCACGAAGCGGCATGTCTGGTCGTCTGCTTCCACTCTAACCAGCAGAAACTTGGGCTGTTGAAGTCGTTGAGTGATACGATTAGAATCCTCTGGCCTTCAAATTTGCCTTCAGATAAAATTCATTCAGGTTGTTGAAGCTGCTGTAGATGGCAGACTTAAAAGATTTACTCGGGCCTGGAGATTTACAAAGATTTATCTCAAAGTCCACTGGTGCTTGTCCCCCTGTCCCTCTGGCAGGTGATTAACCACCAATTGACGGCACTTTGGAGGGTCTGTGTTCATTCATTTGTATAACAAAGAGAGATTGGACGTGGAGATCTCGGTGGTGTTCCTTTTAGATAGTGTGGTAAGTCTTAAGCTTCTTTTGTCAGTTCACAGTTTAGTTTTCATTATGCAGTGCTTGGTATTTCCCTATGGCATAGAAGTCAGTCTCCTTAGTGCTGCAGAGCAACCCTAGCCAGCTGAACTCTTTGGCATCATGGCATCATGGCATCATGGCATCAGATGGCGTCTGGTGGGTTTATCCAGGCTCTGAGCAGCCTGCTGAGACCCTGACTGACTCACAGAGAATTCTGCTGTGCTCTGGAGCAAGGCCAGCTCTGGTCATTTCTATCATGGAGATTTGGAACTTTCCTGTGTGATGAAGAATGTTGCTTGCACATACCTGTTCCCTCCTGTTAAACCCAAGCAGTATGCATAGTCCTGGGCAGTGTAACAAGTCAGGGGTGAGAGACTACCCTGCGGCTGGGTGGGTGGGGAGTGCCTGGGAGTGCCTGGGAGTGCCCATCTTACCTGGCATCATAAAGGAAGATAATGGATTCCTACTTAGCTGGTGAGGAGCACCGGACTCACATCCCCATGAGCTGGAGGCTGCGAGCCAGTGCAGCAGAGGATCTTACAACTTTTCAAGATGAAAGAGGAAACTTCAAAGATGTGTCTTCCAGCAGAAGCAGGCTGCTTCGCACTGTGTCCCACTTCCCATGGGAGTCAGTTCTCCCTACTTACACTCTGAGTGATTCTTTCCTGTCAATCCAATCCATTCCGGGGGAGAGCCACGGTAAACCCTTCCAGAATGGAGCGTTGGCCCCTCTTGGGCATGAAACCACCCACAGAATGTGACCACCCTTCCTCCTCTGAGATCCAATCCTTAAAGACCCTATCATGTGTTAGCCGTG